ATAAAATTAATAATGAAGGAAGGAGGACTTGAAGTGACTGTAGTTTCTCAGAGTTGCTCTTCCTCCAACTGGAAAATGGAAGGTGGGCAGGACTCTGTGTGCTGTCGGCTTCCAAGCGGTTCTTGGTGCGAGGTTAGCCACCAGCTTCCTCGAGGTGAGGTGCCTGGTGCGGTGCGCTGCCTGGTGCCGTCCCCAGGCAGCTTTGCTGAGGCGAGGCGCTGCTCCTTCACCATCGAGGGAGCTGGGGTTCAGAGAAGTTCAGTGGCTTGCCAGCATCCAGGGTAATGGACCCTGTGGTCAGCCTGCAACAGTGCCGTGAACGAGTATTGTCCTCCCATTGTCACCAGTGGTGTCCTGTTCAGCAGTTGGGATGATATATCCTGGGATAACCCAAGCACAGTCATCAGCCCAGAGGGCTGGGTGTCAGAACTGGAACCCAAGACCTTGGGTTTCAAGGTCTAGAGTTTTGGGGCTACAAATGTGGCCACTGAAGAGTCTCCTCTGAGCAATGAGAGGTTGTAGAAGCAACGCCCTGTCTCCCTTGAGCGAGTCTCCCCATCTGACACCATGAACCAAAGGGAGATACCCTGAAATGTCCCCTTTGATTTTTAGTAACCAACCCCGCCCACCACGCCCGCTGCAGGAGGGGCAGGGGGTCAGCATGAAGCAAGGTCCAGGGGCCGCTGCGGTCAGCTGCGTACAAGACGGACGTGCTGGAGAGGGAGGGCTGTGGATGGATTTGGGGCACACTTAACAGGCGGAACCCCCAGGACTTGGTGTCATAGGGGAGGCTGGGGTGGTCCCCAGAATGGGTGGGGGCACCATTAACAGACATGGAACTGGTGAGCTGGCCTGAGACCGGAAGGTGATGAGTTGGCTTTTGGACACATTGAGTCCGAGGGCCCGGTTCCGCTTGGACGTCTGAAAGGCAGCTCACGCTTTGCCTGTGCCAAACAGGATTCTGGAATCGCTGTTCCCCGCCCCTGCCCCTTTGGTTACTCTCTCAGTACATGGCCACCCCGTTCTTCCCTGATACTCGGGTCAAAACCAGAGTCATCCTATCAATGACTCCTGTCTTCTGTGTGACAGCTGATCCGTTAGCCGATGGTCTCCACTCTTTCCTGCAGAAAGCAGTTGGGATGCAGCTACTCCGCCTCCTCCGCTGCTCCCTCTGGTCTAGCCAGTGGAGCAGTCTTTTTCTAACATGAACCAGATGATGTCATGGCACTTCAAAATCTTTCACTGGTCTCCTGTGTTACTCAGTTCTATGGGTTAAAGTGTCCTCCTCCCTCCAAAATACGTTGAAGCCTTAACCTTCAGTACTCTAGAATGTGGCCGCATTTGGAAACAGGGTTGTTGACGATGTGACGGGACGGCCTCTGCCAGCTCAGCCTGTCAGCCTCTGGCTTCACTTTTGTCCTTTTTCCACAGCAGTGATCATTTTCAGAGCCATTGGCAGTGCCTGAAATGATAGTTTGGAAGTGTGGTTCAGCATGCTCCTAGAGACGGTGGTCTCTGCCTCAGGCTGGCACATGGCAGTGGCAGTCCAGAAGATGCTCTGGGCCCGAGGGGTTCCCAGTGAGTCTTTATAATGACCCTGCGAACATTTACGGTGGTTTTAGTTCATGTCAGGCTGTGTTCTGTGTGCTGTGGGTGTGATCAGCTCTCTAAATCCTCTCCACAACCCTCGATGTCCCCATTTTGTAGATGAGAAAGCTGAGGCACAGAGAGGCTGAGGAACTTGCCCAAGGTCACACAGCTGGAGTAGGTGGTAGTGACAGTTTGGGCTGAGCCAGCTCAGCCTCAGGGGCCTTGCCAGTCACCACAACTTGGTGTTCACCCCGAGAGCCTGAGGGGCTTGGCTCACAGTGTTGTAGCAGCCCTGCACCCCTAGGCTGCCCCTCTTTCCACCCCCAAACACAACGCAACACAACACAACACACCACAACACACAGACACAGCACCTTCCCTTTCCCGTTTATTTCTGCTGCATTCGCCCCGCCCCCTTCCCTGGGATCTCCCTGGAAGGGGTCCCATAGAGAGGTGTTTTCTAAAGGCATTCTGACGGCAGGGACGGGTGTTGGGGAACAGTGTCTGCCAGCCTCAGCTCTGATGGCCGCACCGGAACCTGTTCCTTGCAGTCCCCTCTCACCGGTGTCCCCATCTGCAGACTCAGCGTCCCAGGCCGATGGGCCTGAAGCTCACCTCCACCAACAGCCCTCCGTTCCCAGTAGGAAATCAGAGCCGCGGGCAATGCCCCTTATACACAGTGGCTATTGTGGTTTATCTTATTTTGGGGAAAAAAAAACTTGTTCAGTTGATGATCATTGATGAAGAAACAAGGTTATGGGGTCTGCCTTTCTCTGCATTTTCCCTTTTAGACTGTGAACTCCCCATGAGCAGGGCAGGGGGCTGTCATGTCTGTGGCCCCCCCACTGCACCCCATGTTCAGAGCAAACTGCATTTCCTCCCTGACTTGGCATTCATTGTTTATGGCCTGAAAACTCGCTCCTCTGGCCCAGCCCCCCCCCCCACCGCTTGTCCCAAAGCCCCCTGAGTCCTGTGCAAGCCCACTGTCTCACCCCACGCGCTCCTGCCCTCAGCCCTCCCCGCCACGCAATGACCTCACCTCCCCTCGCCAGCCTACATGTTTCTGCAAGACGATGCTGCCCCTTGCTCAATGCCTGGTGACAAAATATTGTTTTACAGTGATAAGCATCTCGTAAGACAATATTTGGAAAGTTATTATCTCAATGTCTCTGGTTGAGGACATGGAATGATGTCACCCAAAGCCAGATCTGCTGTTTGTGGCCAGCAGCGGGGGCGGCTGGGGACAGTATGTGTAAGCTATCGAGGGGCTTGATCTTCAGTGATCTGCCATTGATTGCCCCCCCACGTGACTGATAAGGTCTAATCAGGACCTCAAGGGGAGCTGTGGAGCTTATCGGTGGGAGGGGTGGTGGCAGTGATGGAGGTTCAGAGAGGAGGGGACATCCGAGGGGGGAGGCATGGGTAACGAGATCCCCGTGAGGAAGGAACTTTTTTGGAAGGCCGTTCATGTTTACATCGCCTGCAGCTGGTCCAGGGAAGGTGTTTCTTCTGGGGACCGGGGCCACATCTCCTGTGTTTGTAGCCAACGGGTTCTCTGGGCTCCAACTCCAAAGAAGACCCAGAAAGGGAGGGGGTCTGAGTCTTTCGTCCCCTTACCAGCCCAGCAGGGGCAGCGTGTCACCATTTGTCACCTTTCCCTTGACAGCTCCACCTACGTCACATGTCGCCTTCACCCTGGAGCAGGGCTTCTCAGCCTCAGCATCGCTGGCACTTGGGCTGTGCCGTTTCTATCGTGGGGGGGCCATCCGGTGCCATCAGTGACCTCTGCTCACTAGATGCCAGTAGCATCTTCTCCTCTCCCCTAGTTATGGCATCCCCAAAATGTTTCTGGACGTTACTGAAGGTTCCCTGGAGGAGGGTGGGGTGAGCAAAATGCCCCCAGTGGGGGCTGTTGCTCTGGAGTGACAGAGCCCCTCCACACCATCCCGTCTGCATGGAGCACAAACTCCGGCAGGGAGATTCGCGAGGAATGGCCCCTGTTGTCGTGCGGTGCTCACTGGGGCTCTGGGAGGTCTAGGGGGCTTTGCCAGGCGAGACAGGATCCGGGTGGAGCAGCCGGGCTACCGGCTGAGCCCCACTCACAGAGGTGGGCCTCTCTCACCATGTCACTGACCTGCAAGCCCTCAGCCACCATCTTCTCATGGAGCCTGCACGGCCAGCGTCACTCCTGTGACCCAAGTCACCTGCACCACCAACCTGGCTGCTAGGGTCATGGCGGGCCCCTCGCTGGGTCCTTGATGGTCCTCTGGGGGGTGTGGAGAATGACACAGGTCCCCTCAGGTGGGATGTGGAGATCGGGTATTAGTGAGTGGTCAGAGGAGCGGCTTCCAGATTGGGTTACGGAAACACTCTGAGTTCCCGGGGTGCCTCCACATGGGCCCAGAGAGGAGAGGGCCGGGGATGGGGTGAGCTCAGCACTTGACCTCCAGTGCAGCTGCAGCTGTGTCCTTTCTGCACGGGACGGACTGGCGTCCCCTGACAGTTTGTGTAGGAGACAGGGCCCCGCAGCTTCAGGAAGGCTTGCAAGTTGCTGTCCCAAATGATAACATGTGAAAATTCTGTCCTGTGAGATACAAGTTTGACTCAAAAGAAAATGATGAGATGTAAGACACTGTAAAAATTATAAAGAAAATACAACTTGGAAGACCGCCAAAGTTCAGTGAGTCTAGTGGGTGAGAAAGAGTGTCGGGCTTCAGGGGCGCTGGTTCTCTGGGCGTGGTCACATGGGGGTGCTCGTCTCGTGAAATTCACTGGGCTGCACCGGGGTTGGGGGCTTTTCTCAGTTCCGGCTGCTACTGTGGAATACCACCATCTGGGTGGTGGAGATGATAAACATTATTCCTCGTGGTTCTGGAGGCCAGAAGCCCAATGTCAAGGTGCTCTCAGACTCAGCGTGTGCAAAGAGCCCTCTTTCTGGTTTACAGACTGCTGCATTCTAGCTCTGTGCTCACAGAGTGCAGACTGCCATCTCCTGTCTCTCCCTCTTCTTATCAAGGCCCTACTCCTGCCCTGGGGGCTCCTCCCTCCTGAGCTCATTCAATCCTAACTTCCTCCCACAGGCCCTACCTCCTGATACCCTCACACTGGGAGGTTAGGGCTTCGACACATGGATTTGGTGGGACACAAACATTTAGTCCCTAACAGCTGCCAAACCACAGCCTGCAGGTCCCTGGTGGCCAGCTGTCTGTTCTTACAAATAAAGTTTTATTGGAACACAGCCATGCTCATTCATTTACTTATGGTCTATGTCCAGCTTGCTTCTAAGCTACAAGCAGAGTCGAGTAGCTATGACAGTGATTATAAGGCCTAAAATATTTTTGTCTGGCTCTTTAAAGAAAGTAAATGAACTCCTGGCTTATTTATGATACTTGTTTATTTCTGTATGCATATTATAATTGGCTTAAAAATTTTTTTAAAGACATCATCTCCTCCTCTACATAAAAGATAAAAACAGTGTCTCATTTTACAGGTGAGAACACCTGTCCAAGACCCAAAAAGAGGCAACCTCACTTGTATCAGGTCTCACTGCAGAGAAACCTGGACAGCCAGACATTCGGGCCTGACCTTCGGGCCCCTTACCCAGCGCCACCCTTAGCAGCATCCCGCCGTTACTGCCCATGTGCATGCAGGAAAGGCCGGGAGGTGCCACAGCTTCTCCTCTGTACCAGCGAGGGTGGTAGAGGGCGGCCCTTCTGGCAAGTGGGGCTGGGAGGGTGCCGGGGGCTGCAGACCATGGGTGGAGGAAAGAGCCTGTGACCAGTCAACCCAGAGGCTTGGGGTCCAGGGTCAGGCCGGTCTGGCTCAGTCTCCAGGGTGGGGGTGGGGGGGAAGAGGGGGCGGAAAACGCTGCTCCCACATAGGGCCGCTGGGAAGGACGTGGTGCTTCTGTATGTTCGCTCTCCTTTAAACCAAGTCAGAAACCGCTAAGTTCCCTGGGTCTGGTCCATGTGAGCCTGTCAGGGCGTGGAGATCCGTGGCACGTGACAACACGCTGTGGGGGAAGAGGAGCACATGAATTTGATGGGTCAGGGCTGGGAGCTCAGTGTGTACCCCCCCCCCCCAGTCCTTGGGGTCTGTGGCTGGGGGCATGGGCACAGTGTTCCTCATCTTCCCCCTTTATGGCGAGGACGTCAGGACCCAAGGAGGTCAGGTGTGTTTGGAGCCCATAGGGAGCAGCCTTGTTGCAAAGCCTGAGAGGAGGGGGCAGCTCCCAACGTCCGTTCTAGGAGAGAGAAGCCCAGGAGAAGGTGCAGAAAACATTCAAATAACAAATGCAGGGCACAGGTGTATACTCCCGTCCGCCCTGGGGGTCAGCTCTCACTGCTGCCCATCTGAGGAGGTGCCTCTTCTCCTGCCAGTTAACGGGAGAAAAGCCGGGAGCCGGGGGTGGGGAACTGGGGGTGGGCAGCTGGAAAGGACTTTGGCCCCAGCGGTGGGGGAGGGGAGACAGGAGGAGGCTGGGGCGGAAGTGGCCATAGTTTCAGCTAGAAGGGAAAGAAACAAAATTTTCACTTACAGTCCCGTTATAAAGGTGCCTGTTCTGCTAAGCGAATTTACAATTCTACTCATTGTTTGGAACAAACCTTTTTAAAGAAAATGGCAATTCATTGATCCAGTGCAGGAAGCACAGGCACGTGAACAAATGGTGAGGGCGGTGCTCACACGTGCAAAACAAGGACCGCAGTTCGGGATGTGCTGTTGTAGACAGATGCTTCCAGAACAGGCCAGAGAGAAGGAGCAAGTTCGTAGGTCTGTTGGTGTTCTCAAGGTGTCTGTCTGGTAGAACAAATTTCAGATTCCTCAGTGTGGTTCCCCGCACAATGAAATTCAACCAGTCCCCAACGAATTGGTTTTTTTCTTGGCATAAAAGACCCCGGAGAGTATCTTAGCCCCCAGAAGCGTCGCGTCACGTTAAGAACTGACTTGACGTATGTGCGGTTTCCCAGCCCCGCCTCCCCGTTCGTTTGGAGCACACGGCTCCTCCCCAGCGGGGAGAGAACAGATGTGCGCTGTTACATATCTTTCTGGAAACCTGCTCCCGAGCCCGAGTCATAACTCTCCGTAACAACCCATTCCTGCAGTTCAGAGATCTTTTATAAGCCTATTTTAGGCATTCGATTATTGCCTGACTAATAACAGGGGCTCGTGATGTGGGGGAAGAGACTGCAGGCTATGGTGCAGTCGTAGCGTGTAATTGCTCTGTGGCTGCCAGTGAGGATCCCTGGTTTCTGGGGCAGGAGAGCCTCTTAGGTGCGAGGAGCTATTTTTTCGTGTAATAATAATCGGGCTGCGAGGAACCCAGCAGGGAAACCCACCCAGAGAGCAAACTCACTCCAAAATATATTTTAAAAAGAAAGGGCGAAAGAGAACATAAAGAACCCTTGGGGGAATCTTCCACTGCCTGGAGGAAGGCACATTCAGCCAGAACCCCAGAGGACCCTTGGACCAGCTGAGTGTTCAGGGGTGGGGGCCCGTGGCCTGGGTGGTAGGCAGAGGGCTGCCCAACGGTACACACACAATCCCTTTGAACGAAGCGGTGAGCTGTGGGTCTGGATGCCCCGGGAGTGGTCAGAGACCTTCACTGTCCCTCCAACTCCAGCTCGCTCCCCTGGGTGGGAGAACTCGGCGCGGCACATTCCGAGCTGCCCGAGTCCCCTGCTCCAGTTCCCATAGCCATGAACTTGCTCATGCTCATGTGCTGTGCTGGCTTCGGCTGCTTCCTGGTCCCACAGGTCTGTGCCCCACAGGCTGCCTGGAGTCCTCTCCCAGACAAATGACTTGCACTTGAAACTTCGTCTCAGGGTCTGCTTCTAGGGGACCCAAACAGACAGAGCGAAGGGCCATATTGCCCTTATAAGACAGATGTTTTTCTCTGCCCCCCCCTTTTTTGCTTTATTTTCTCTGCCTTCCTCCCTCCCCGGTGTCTCTGCCCCCTGTTACAAACACTGTATAACTCCTGTGGACCAGGGCTGAGCTAGGGCTGGGCTGTAGCAAAGCTGGGGCAGGGTCCCTGCCTTCCCCTCTGAGAGGGACAGGGGAGGCGGCAGGTGACCACACCATGGCGGGGGTCAGGGCTTGCTGGTTGGAAGTTCAGGGCAGATCTGCAACCTTCTGGAGAAAGCAGAGGGCGAAGCTCACCTCAGCCCCCAGTGCCCACCACCCTGGAGCCTCAGCCTCAGCGGCAACTTCCCCACCACTCCCCTCCCCACCGACCCGAGGGCTAGCGAGTTCCCCGCACCTGGGCCTTGGTGCAGGCAAAGGACAATTCTGGAAGGAGATGTGATACTAATGGAATTTCAGGCTACACAGTGGCCACGGAAAAAGTCTTGGGTCACAGAGCAATGGATTTGTTTCAGAAAATAATGCAGAGGAAAGCAAGTGACCTGTGATATTTCTCTTTAGGGAAAGAAGCAATGTCTATTGAATGGAATGTTTTTTTATGTCCTAAGCTTGTGACAACCAACAGGCTGTATACATCTAGCAGCTCTTACACCTGTTCAGTGCTTGAAAGTATTTGAGTCAGTATTTCTGTTTTAGGGATGTGAAAGTCTGAATGTCCAGTCTCTTGAGAAATTGGAAGCTCAGCCACATGCAGACTGCATCCTTCCCTAGCACCGCTGGCTCGGACGGAGTAGAGGCCAGCCATCAGACTGGCCTTGTGGTCTCCCTTTGCCGCACTCCCCACCGCTCCCTATTACCTGACACTCCTCAACATGCTCCCGTGTTTCACTCACTGACCTCGTCAAATCCTCATTATCACTTGTTAGATGTTGCTATGGACTAAATTGTGGCATCTCCTTCCTCCCCAAAACTCGTAGGTGGAAGCCCTGACCCCAAAGTCACTGTATTTAGATACAGAGACCACAAGGAGGTAATTAAGGGTAGATGCGGACCATTGGTGGCCTTGTAAGAAGAAGACCAAAGAAATGGCCCATTGTGAGTGCACAGTGAGATGGCAGCTACCTATAAGCCGAGAGAAGAGGCCTCGGAATGAAACCCACCTTAATGCACCTTGGCCTTGAACTTCCAGCCGGCAGGACTGTGTGAAAAGACGTTTCCCTTGGTTAGGCTGCCCAGCCGGTGGCCTAGTGTTGGGCAGCCCCAGCACACTGGTGCCGAGGGGAGGGCTGTGTGGACCTGGCCGCTGGGGAAGCCGAGGCCGGGCATAGACTGACTTGCGCAAGTAGGAGCAGCAGCGCTGGGGTCACAGTCCAGGGTTCCTAGACTCTAAGCAAAATGGCCTCTGAAGGGTTAGAACCCAGCGAGCAGCAGGACTTCTTTGGGGCTCAGTGTCCCCGAGCGACCATGGCCCGTCCTCTGGCCTTTCCCAGCCCACCCCCGCCTCCCGGGCTTGCTGTCCTGCAGGGCCTTGCCACTCCAGCCTCCTCACCACGGGCTTCTGGGGCTGCCTGTCCTGGGGGACCTGAGCCTCTTCTCCAGCCATTGCCTTTGTAACTGTCACCAAGGTGGCTTAGACACCACCTCCTCCAGGAGGCCTACCAGGTCCCTCTGATGGGACAGCTCATCCCTCACCTCCTGAGCAGCACTTTGTGGGCTGGGCCTGTCCTGTTTGCCACCCCCCGCCTCCTCCCCCTGCCCACCAACCCACAGGTACCAGATATGAGAGATCAGGGCAAGAATCTGCCTTCCTGAGGGAGGGCCAGCTCTCGGTCACTCCAGGATAGTCAAGGTCAGATAGGGCGATGCAGGGCGGGTCTGTCAATGGGAGAAGTCGGCCCAGCACAGAGCTAGGGGTGTGAGGGGCCTGCGGAGGCCTGGAGTTCGAGCCCGTCCCCAGCCCGCAGCTGCTCCCCAACCCTGCCGCCTGCTGCCGTGAGGACATGAGCACGGTGCCCAAGTCCCTTCAGTACGGGCCAGAAATTCCGACCGTCATGTTTCTGATGTTTGAAGGTTGGCCGCGATTTCACCTTGTGTAGGCTCTGCACAGATCAAATGGTATCTGTCTGGGTCCTCGTTCCAGGCGGTCACGGCTTTGGGGTCCGGTCTTGCCCCGAGGTTGTGCCCAGGCTGGTTCTTGGTGGCCAGGAGGCCTGTGGTGTGGACAAGGTGGTGGGCTGTGTGGGGCAGCCGGTGGCCAGGTCCCAGTCTGCTCCGGGGAGGCCAGCCTCCGTAAACGGTGTCTGTCCCTGTTAAAGCCCGCTCAGCCAGGCAGCTCTGAAAGGCTGACGTAGCCGTATTTACAAAGCTGCCCACTTGGCTGTGACTGCCGATAACGTCACCGCAGCCAATAATCTGTTGTAAGATAATAATATCAACCATGAAAAAATGCTTTATGTAGAAAGACGTTCATCACAGCATCCTTTTTAGCAGTGAAAGCTGAAATAACCAAAACGTCCGACCATAGGGGATGTTATCATTAAGAGTGATAATATATCTCCCACTTATTGAGTGAATGTCCTCTATTTACGCACACTAAACACATAAGATACCATTTAGTGCTCGTGACAGTGTAACCACCCCATTTAAAAGATGTTACAATCCCCATTTAAAGATGGGTCACAGGCACAGATGAGTAGCTGGTGGTGGCTCTTGAGTGTGCAGGAAGCGGGGACTAGTCTGTCCCGATCGCATTCTCTCCAGGAGATGCCTTTTGGTGGTTGTAAAGACCCTGATGGTCAGCTGTACGCAGAACATGACCAAAACTTCAGTGGGCAGAGCCGAGCTTGGCAGGAGGAAGCCCACTGTGGGCACCGGTTTGGTGCGTGTGCCCTTCCACCAGCCGATGGCTCGAGTGAACTGCCCTCAACCGAGAGACCAAAGCCAGGTGTGGGCAGGGTTCGAGGAGCCGGCTGGGGTGCGCTGCACTCCCCTCCCCCAGAGATTTGCCCTTTGTCACCCCTCAGGATGCAGGGAAGGGGAGAGGGGGTCGTGTGTCTGGAGCCCAGTGGGGTCTAGAGCTGCAGCCGGGGCCACATGCCCGGAGCTGCCACCGGGAAGGGACAGGGCTCCTAGTGGAGCAGTAAAGGGTGGGGGGCCTGGGGAAGAAACACCCCAAGTTCTCTCTCTTCCCGCCTACCCGTCTATAAAATAAACGGGAGACACCCCACTGAGCCACCCTCCATGATGAGGGGGGGTGCAGGGCTACAGGGTACACGGCCACTGTGGAAAGATAAAGCTCAGCCTGTCATTAAAGGGGTGCTAAGATTCCCTGTTTCACCTGTAATTTCACGAGGACCTGAGGACCAGGGCTCCCCACGACCCCACAGTCCTCTTTCAGCTGCACAGTTCTTCCCATCCTCCTCAGAACGTTTTCTCTTCTGCAGGCTGAGGACGCGTGGGGTCCCTGCCCTTGGGGTAACTGGGAGACCTTGGCTGACTTTCCCTTACGGTCCCAGATGTGTGAACAGTGACAGTACCCTCCTTGATTTTTTTAATGTAAAAACTTGGGCTAGGCAAGGGGTGGGTAGATGGCACAGATTCAAATCTCTTCTATTTCTGGAACTCTGAAACTCTACATTTCTCTACCTTAGGATCCCTGGCTTTTATAAATAACATCAGCAACATTATTCATCCTTCTGTACAACCATCTAAATACTGCCTGTCCATCTATCCATCCATCTACTCACCTAGCCGTTTCTCATTTATCTGTTCATCATCCATCCATTATCATTCCATCCATCCATCCATCCATCCATCCATTATCCATCCATCCACCATCCATCCATCCACCATCCATCCATCCATCCACCATCCATCCACCATCCATCCATCCATCCATCCATCCACCATCCATCCACCATCCATCCATCCATCCACCATCCATCCACCATCCATCCATCCATCCATCCACCATCCATCCATCCACCATCCATCTATCCATGTACATACCCATGTAGACATCATCATGTACCTACATATCTACGGGTCCCGTGCCAGGCTCTGTGCGCGCAGCAAGCAGTCCTGTCCTCCAAAAGTTTCTCGTCTAGCGGAGAAACTACAAACCTCTCAATAAGGGTCAAAGGCGATTCAAAAGCGGGACATAAGTAACTAAGCAGTAGGTGGCCCACACAGGAAGGACTGAGGGGGAGTGAGACACTGGACACTGCCAGGGAGGAGGCTGGTTTCTCAGGGAAACAGGGCCTGGCCAGATCCCTGGAGAAGTCTCGGCCTGACCCTGAGCTCCTGAGTTCAAGGACATCTCGTGGACCGGTGCAGAAGGCTGGCCCGTGGAGGGCGTGTTCCTGGGTCAGACTCGGCGCCCTCTCTGGCCAAGACCTCTGTTCAGACTTTATCCTGGGCACCTGCCTCTGGTCCACTGACCAGCCCCCGGCGCTGCAAACACCCTCGAAACCCCCCTGGCACACAAGGAGTGGGAGATGGGGACTTGAAGGTGCAGAAGGCCCATCTGGCTCAGACCACTTCCTCATTAGTACCTATCGCCCCTGTAAAGCGTGCCAGCTGAGAGGTGCTCGGGAGAAGGAGCCCCACACGTCGAGGGCCGAGCCCCGCTCTGCCAGGCGAATGTGCTTTCTGTGTTCCTGGCTGGGCCATAAATAACCCGGCCACCTCTAATTTGGCCTCCGATACCCTGACCGGCCGTGATTTATTCACAGACCAAAACAGGCATCTCTAATTTGCTAACCAATCGCTGCAATTCTGGCCTCGCCAACCAATAATTCTGCCATCTCTAATTTGCCAATAAATAATTCTGCAGCCTCAAATTTACTAACCAATAATGTGACCAATTTGCTGACCAATGGTTGTGTCAAGGCATAATGGCGCCCCTAGCAGATGGTAATTTGCTAAGCAATATTCGGACCTTTCCCCCCTTAGCAATAAAGAACCTTCGTGATCTTCGAATTCCCAGCCCATTGCCGTGTGTAGGAGGACGCTGCAGGCGGCTGGGTCGCCAGGGCCCCTTCCCCAAAGCTTGTGCCCACCTGCACATCCCCTTCCAGCTCCTACAGTCACAGATAGTGTCTTGGAAAGTAAGAGATGTCCCAGCTGGCTGCTCATTTTGCAGCCAAAGGTAGCAAGACTCAGAGAGAGAAAGCAACTTGCACAAGGTCACACAGCAAGGCAGCAGCAGAAATGGGACGAGAACACAGGTCTCTGCACTGCCAGGCCGGTTCCCAGGCTTCCCCGTCCCTCCTCAGGGTATTCGAGCCAAGGAGCAGGTTCGCTTGGGCTAGGCCGGCTCCCAGGGGACATTGGTTTGGCCTCAGCCGAGCTCCCCTGGTGCCAGGGACCGGGGAAGCTGGCCTTGCCGACCCCGCCACCTGGGGGGTCTGAGAGCGGGACGGGAAGGAGGAGTCACTGTGCCACCCAGAGGACTTGGCCCAGTTTTAGTCCCAGGAGATGCTGGCCGTCAGCAGAAACCAAGAGCCAAACCTCACATTCCCTACAGAGCTGGCACCCGCCTTGCCCAGGATGAGTAAGAACAAAAGTTCAGCCAGGAGGGCAGCGACCCCACCCCCAGGAAGTCCCAGGGCCCTGGGCGCATGGCCCGTGGAAGTCCCCGCACAAGAAGTTTAGCTGCACCTGGGGCTGAGGTGGGCCACTTGGAGGCGCCCCCAACGAGGTCTGGTGAGTCCAAGCTGGGCCCTCCCAAGTCTGTGTGCTGCTCAGAAAGAGCACCCTAACTGGTGCCCTGCCACCCTCACTGGAAAGAGTCTATTTGGCTCTTTTTTTTTAATGCTCATGGCTCTTTTCAGAAATCTAAACCAACACTGCTTTGAGAATGAGGGAGAGTTCCTTTTAATGCCCCCCCCCCCCCCCGCAGCCTGCCATGAGTGTCAACTGGGCGGCCCTGTGTGACTTTGTCTGGACTGGCGCACGGCTGGGGATGGGAGTGGGTGGGTCCGGGGTCCACACTGGGAAATGGAGGCTCCTCTCCCTAAGAGACACCTCGTCTGCAGTCCTGCTGTCCCCAGGACCAAGTCCCCAAGCCTGGGCCAGTGAGTTGAACGGGCCCCGGGGAAGCAGGGATGAAAAAAAGGTGGCGGAGGTTGGAGGAGGTGTGGGGTTGGCACAGAATCTCCTGGCCACCGAGGACAGTCTTGGGACAGGTCTCATTTTGCTCTCTTAACTATGGGCACCCCATTCTCTCTGCCTCCTCAGGGACCAGGGCAGGAACGAAGGGACAGACGGG